AAATTCTCTCAATCGTGGCTCAACGCAGGTTCGTTCGATATATAGTGCAGAGCAATTTTACATGAAATTGCACGGCGGCGTATGTACGGTCTACTATTCGAAACGCGAAATGGTAGCGGATGGTATCGTGTAGCATCATTGGAGCTGTAACAGTAATAACGATCGCGTTCCGTGTACTTGATTATCTGATGTGACAAAGTAGCGAATTCGAAACGAAAAAACTGCACCGTGGTATTAAATTTTAAAAAAATGCCTCAGTTTGGAGGAATTAGTTATAGGGATGTCGTAGCAAATATTGGAAGAAAATTGCACCATTTTAGCGAAATAAATTTCACTACCACCGATTGAAAAAGCAATCGTTCGCATAGAAGTACTATGTATTGATTCATGTTTTAAGATTTAATTTATTTTACCGTCAGTTTATTTATATATTCTCATATCGCGTTTCATATGCAAATATTTTTACAAATATACTTTTACATATCCTTACACGTTTCGCTTACACGAACACGAGCCTCGAGAAAAAAAATTTTGTGATCGATGATCAGAAATCTATTGTTAAAATTTAATATAGCAGAACCGAGTGAACTCATACTCTTGTCAGTTCTTGGCGCTCGGTAAATCGACGAAAATAAATCGACGCATGCAACGTGACCGCGAACACGTGCAACAATGAAGCTGAATGCAATGTGCCGATGCATCCATGACGACCTTATCTATCATATGCTATTGCAGTTCACTACACGCCATGGTGGAATACCCGAAAACCGTCATGTCGAATTACCGCGCGATCGCTGTAGATATTTCCTTTGAATTAATCCCTATTGTATTCGCGACTCGCGCTCGCGTTCGATGTGCTATAGCGCCAGCGCACGTAAGCACAGGCATATTTCCGTCTGACAAACTATCTCAAATACTTGTTGGACAAGCTCACCGCACCAATGAGTACGAATTAATCGCACCGCATTAATGTTATACTATATTATCCACCTTAAACGTGCGACTTTCGCCTTGTCTAACATTCCGATGAAATATAATTCATTTGATGCTTTTGGAAAACTGCATTTTTTACGATTATTATACATGTAGAGGAGTTGGATCATCGCTCAGATAACTTTTGCAAAAAATTTTAATGAACCGACCGCCTCGCAACGTTTGGCCATTCGCCAGCTGGCTACGAAACAGACGCGAACGATTAAAACGGAAAAAAATAAACGTTGAAAAAAATGGGGAAAATATTGAAGGTTTTCTCAGCGCATCTAAAAGCCGTTCTCGGTCGGAACTTAATTGACAATCGACAAAGATTTCATTTCAAACATACGTCTTTATTCTTGGCGCGATATCGCACAGGAGTCATGTAAAAGCGTATTTACTCGACAGCATGATGGAATATTTAAAAGCGGTAATGTTATCGCGTCACGTATGAACTGCTTTTCTATTTTTCCGTAACGCAACATGCGTCACACAAACGATGCAGAATGTCTGCGGCAAAAACAGTCCTCTTATCTTTTAATTAAACATTCAAATGGAAAAAGATTAATTTTATTTAACTACGTTTATTTAAAATTAATTTTATTTTTTAGAAAAATAGGAAAAATTGTGCAGAAAAATAAAGAATTTTGATATAGGTATTAAAATATGACGGCTGATATCAAAAATCTTTTTTTAATTAAATATTAATTCCCTTTATGCAGACATTTGTCCTAAAAAAAGTTTTTATATATTTTAGTTGTAATTTTTTTTTTGTTGCAAAATTTTACAATCTCCGTCTAATGCGATAAAGTCAAATATGAGAAGAGTAAAAGATAAAACCAATAAATGTCAGCATCATACACGAGCGGTATCGTATATTATTTAATTCGCTACTAGTCGCTTCTCATAAACGAAAAAACAAACAAAAGTGACCAAGCAATGCTATTGCTCAGCAAAAAAAATAAAAAAAATTAGAAACCAGCACTGTCCAATATCGTTCGTCCAAAATCATTTCGGTCTTCTTCTACGCTTGTAACAATTATTATTTTGTATATTCACATTTTTTATTTGCTTATATGCACATATATTTATTTACGTAGTGTGCAGTTTTATATAGTATATGCTCTGATTTTGCAAACCGAGGAATAATGTTTGAAGTATGAAACGCGCGGGTGATAAAAATTGAATGTTCTATCTCTACCGTTCGCGTTATTGCCGTATAAAGCAGCGTGAATCTTCGCGAAATAATGTCTGCATCGTGCAACATTTCGCAATGTAGATATCAGCTCGCGAAGTCCCGATGCTGTCGCGATGCGCGGGGGGGAAGCGAATTTATGGTCACTCTATACATATATCTCGCGCCGCGCACACGTGCACGCGACGCGCGATGCGTTTTGAATTCAAAGCAACGGCGAAAATCGATCGGCGGGAAAGTAGGAAGAAGCGAGTCGGGGAAGGAAATAGCAAATCGTTCGAACGAGACATCGGCGATTATTTATCCGGATAAGCAGGTCGGGTCGTCCAAAAGCGATTACGGCGAGGCATAACGTCGGCCAATCGGCGCGGCGACGGCGGTCGATCGTTTGTCTAGCAACATCATTATCGGCGCGATATCCGAGATAAAATGGAGGATTATTTTGAGGGGATAAATCGTTTTAAACTACATTTCAGGGCTGGAATTTCTTGCATCGCTAATGGCGCGCAGTCGAGAGAGAAAGAGAAGGAAAACGCTATACTCCCTTACGTTTATTTTCCAAACGCGCGAAGTTATCGGTTATTGCGAGCAATAGGAGGTAGTTATGACGTTTGTATCGCACAACCGTAACTGTCTTATTGCAGAGTGAACTTTACAAATACTACGGAGAAGGAAAAATACATAATAGGATACACACGGTTGCATCAATTTTTAAATTAAATATTTACAACCAAGAATCGATTAGGAAATCTATCCCAACGTGTAATTAAATTATTCGGTAAAGCACGCGTTTGACAATCAATCCTTCTTCCGTTCCTCTTAAGAGACAGCACTCAGCACCAATCTCCGAATGTATCAAAGATAAATGTCCCTTCTAGCGTTTACCTAAAGCGAGGGCAAATTCGCGTGTAGGAACACGTGCGGGGGCTATTCTAACAGGTACATAACGATCCGCACGTCGTATAGCTCACGCCTGGTACGAAATCTGGCGCGACTCATCTGTATTACATGACCTGCACGTGTTATCCGGCCCGGTGCCGGTGAACGACAGGAGAAGGACGACTACACAGACGCCGGACATAACCCGTATGCAATATGCATAACACAGCCGGTGACGTATTTCATGAGAGCGCGACCGAAAACCGCGGTATTCTTGACGGCGGCGCGATCGAACGTCGCGACCTCAAAAACACTTTTACGATCCACGAGAATAAAATGCGTTTCTGCAAACAAAACACGATATTTTGCAAGGAAAATCTTAACTGTGGATAAATAACGGACGCGTCAATTCTTTAACTGATTATAACGATGAATCGAACGGGAGAGATCGATAATAGGATAACGATGCCAAACGTCGCATACATTCTCATCGCAGTGGTAATCGTAATTTTATTGTAACGAAAAATTCGCCTTTAGAAGTATTATCGCGAATTTCAGCATCCGATAAGATCGGATTTCGCAAGCAGTAAAGAAGGTCTGATTGTACAAATGGTTTTCTCAAAAGAAATTGTACGCTGAGAGAGTCGGAAAAGAGTCGTATGCGGGCTTACGTCGGCGATCGCGCGAAATGGAGTTTCTTTTTTTTCGGCGTATCATCTCGAAGTACATCGGCTCCTCCGACTTTTAGTTACTTGAGTCACATGATCCGGCGGGGCATATATACATTATTTCGTCCTCTCCATTCGAAAACAACGGTCGAATTATATTTAGACGGAATGAAAAATTCAAAGCGCAATGAAAGATGAAAGATAGTGTCGTTAATTGTTCGCCAGTTAAATAACTATTTAACGACGCGCAATAGAAAACAAAAATTTATTTCCATACTCAATCGTTTTGATTCCTCTATTTGAAACGAGTAATTCACGCGGAATACCTGCTTCGATAAATAGCCGTCGCTTCGATACAATTATGAATCGTTAATTGCAAAAATTAATCGCCTGATAATTGGTAATTGTAATAAGGAAATGGTCGCACGTTCCGAGGGATAGTGTGACAACGCGCGAGTGGCAAAACGATGACCTTGTATGACACGCAGCGACGAGCTGTATGTACGTCGCGAAAAAACGAGTGTCGAGAGCCGAACATCACGTGCAAAACAGAAATGTCACCGCCACGAAATATTTAATTTATTATAAAATGACTGCACGTCGGATATTCTATTCCTTGCGTATTTCAAATTAATTTCGATAAATAAGCTATTGTTGCACATTAAATTCAATTTATTTTAACAATAAAATTTATCTTCATTTTAATAAAAGAAGAGAAATAAAAGAAGAGAATATTTACCTAAATTAATTTACTGTTGTTTTTTTTTTCAAATTTTATGTCCCGAGAGCAGCGAAATTATGTTATTTTAACGAATGAAGAAAATTAAATTAAAATGTCGCGGAGAATATGGCGCGTTTTTTTCTCAATATATTAAAATCACACATGATTTCATTTCGAGATGTAAAAAATTTTAAGATAATAATTTAATCTTTATACACATATTACATATATAATATATATATTTCTATAAAATATGTGCATAATATAATACATATGTAATTTATTTCTACAAAACTTTTTATGTATACATGTTCATTATAATTGCGACTTCATGATACACAATGAAGGTACTCTAGATGTGTAGACACTCTAGATACAAAATCTTTACAATGATGTTAATCGCTCGTTTCCCATTGTTAAATTTTCCTAATTATTCCTCTGAACCTTTCTCTCTATATTCGTGATCTGCATGCTCTCTTGTATCCAATCCGCTTATGCACTATAGCTTGCCAATCGATCTCGCGGATCGACCGATAATTACGTACGAAATTGTCTTCCTCCACAGGATTTAACGTACGCGGACGGCGGCCACAATTGGCGGAGTATAGTTTTCTCACTGCTTGTCATCGGTTTCGTTATCGCTGGCATCGTCACGGCAATTTATCTCCTCGGGTGAGTTCGCATTACTCGCTCTCTTTGTCTCCCCTTTATTTTAACTTTTATTAATCTATTCCTTCAATCAACTATAAAATATAAGGAAAGGTGATACAGAACTCTTTTCCGCTGATAATATGAAACATTATAACGTGTGTTTCTCTTATAGCCGAGTCTAGCAAAATGGTTTTCATCCGTTTATTACGAATGCTTTAAGAATGCTTGTATTGTCTTCTTAAATTTGTTTTTAATTTTCTTTGATTTATTGTTTACAGATACGTCGACGAGCTCCTTTACTGGAGCGGCAGGCGTCTTACGTTAGACGAGTGCCTTCGTGATGACCTGACACCGCACAGGTTACCACCGACTTGGATAACCCACGAAAAGTTCGTCTACCAAGCCGACGATGGTTCCCTCACCCTTTTGGACACCCGCAACAACGTCGTGTCCCTCTTAGTCTCTAATCATACGCTTGTACGTACATATACATACTACGCGTATACATACTGCGCTCTTTGCATTTTGCGAAATAACGATAAACTTTTCCGATGATATTATATGGCGTGACTGTAAATTTTGTGTATAAACACAAAGATTATCGCATATTGAACATTGATGATAAATTTTCAATCGTAAATTCATCCCGTGGAAATTATAAAATATAACGGCCTGCGTTTATTAAATAATTCTTTGTTGTATATACATGTGTGTATATATCTGAAACCTCATTTAACAATAAAATTGCAACAGAGTTTTTCGCAAATTAAACATTCTAAAGAACAGATTTATAATATGGTTCAACACAAAATTCTACAGCAACGAATATGAATTTTTTCTCAATTAAATCCCTAATGACACAAACTGAATACAGTGGGTAATTTTTAAAAAGAGGAAAATAATTATCTAAGAGAAAGAGAGTTCCCCATGGAAATCGAGCAATCAGAAAAATTATTTATGAAGAAAAAAAAGTATTGTGCTCTAACGCGACGGAAAAGAATTAGGAGATTAAAGTCACTTTAAGGATGGGAATCTAAAAGGCGAGGCACAAGAAACTTGAAACCTTCTTCCTCGAGAGACTCGAGAATTATTATTTATTAAACAACTTCTTAAAAAATCATCAGTACGACTTAACTTCGGTTGCACTTCGTTTCGACGTTTCATAAACATGCAATTTTGATGAAAGAGATGATTCGGACGTAAAATATTCAATATCAAATCTAGACTTTGTCATTGAATATCCGAATTATTATGAACGACAAATGAATATATAACTTAAAACGTACAAATTTTGGAATAAATAAAGAGCGCTTAAAATATGATTCGAATTCATCATTTGATTAACCAGCGAATTAATTAGCGTTTTCGATTAAATTTTCTCAGAAATGATTGCGTAATCGCTACGCAGTTAATTATGCCGAAACTAATGTAATCGTTTTTAAATTATGCAACAATCGTGCGTGAAACTCCGTAAGACATAAAAGATGAGATGCAAATGTGAAATTTATAATTAATTTGAACTTCTGTGGACCTATATACCTATGCGTCATCTCGTGCATATATTAGCATTGATTATTTTAATCAGCGGCAAAATCAAACATTAAGTGTTATTCGAAGGAGTTATCAATGCGCACTGTCTAAAGTAAATAAATTTGTTTAAAGAATAAATTCCATTTATATAGGTTAATTGCTTCGCGTTACATTAAACAAATCCTGTTTGGAATATCATGCCAAATAAAATCGATTGACACACATCGCGAATGGAAATATTCGAGCGAATGAGTTGTCGAATTTTCCGTTGTCGAAAACGGATGCCAAATTCATTCACGACCCGATAATAATCCTCGCCGCATCCAAGCCGCTCGGCCAAAGAGAAGACCGTTATTTCCATCAGATTTCGGCGGAGCCCTAAATCACTGGCCACAGCAGGAATATCCGCATTAGTGATGCACCGAGGTATCTCAGCTCCCTTGGTATCTAATCCGCCGATACCAAGCTATTGTCGCGCTTATCCCAGGATTAATTGGTGACATGACCCTCGCACTCGCCAGATAATTACGCGCCAACTGCCTACGTGCAGATATATTCCTATATGGAACGTGCAAATGCGAAAAGGAAGGAACAGGAAAAGGAATAAATCACAAAAAGGAGGAAGAAGTAAATATGCGAGAGCTCTTCTTTTTGAGAGGATTTATGAATTAAAAAATGTTTAACTTGTGGGATTTTAAATCCCTCAGGAAGAGAATAATTTCTAATTTGGAGCCATTTGTGATTTAGCTTCTTTATTATTGTTGCCCGTGAACGGGTAGGGGAGATATGCAACAGCCGAACAGGAGTAAATATGTACCGCCAGAAGCACGGATAATTTCTCCTGTGCAATAGTTTAAGGTTCCCTCGAGAGATTCGGTCGAGGATACAAGAAGACATTTTCACGCAAAATACTGCTTTTTCAACCTGCTCTCTCTCTCTCTCTCTCTCTCTCTCTCTCTCTCTCTCTCTCTCTCTCTCTCGCTTTTGAGCTCCCAGTAGATTTTTAATTGAGACAAACAGTCAAACAGCATTGCCGAGCGTTTCTGTATGGAGAGATTTTTTACATAGGAAGGGGAGCTAAAACCCTTTATCGAAAGTCAGTTTTGTTCTGCCGATCGGCAAACTAGCCGAGTGTGCCTCGCGGCGCGTTACGAAACAAAGACTAGACCGCATATAAAATGGAATCCGGGGCATCCCACGGTTTACCCGGGGCTTCAGGCACGCGCCTGGGATAAATATGAGGTATTCCGGATACTGCGATATTGCGCTTCAGGTTCAATGATACTCGTACCATCTGTATCTCGAGGCATTTTCGATTACAATATAGACTCGGAGCGAGAAAAAGCGATGATTAAACGTTCTTGCTTAATAATATTATTTCGAGAATTTTAACGCGCCACGTTCCACGAGGAATGAAACGCAACGACGTTGTGGGGGGAAAAAAAATTAAGAGAAATGTGGGAGAATCACGAAATGAAATATACAAAATGTCTCCATAGCGAGGTCTGACATGAGGGCAATGAGAGAAAAAAAAAGAGAAACGAGGAGGGAAGCGGCTTATAACGAGGCGGAAAGAGTGATCGATCTAGGTAGTGGTAGCATGATAAGTATGCGTGCGCATACAAGAGAGCCGATCCACTTAGTCTGGACAAGTTCCAAATCCGCGTTCTTTTTCCCTCACGGACCGAGAAGCGATGTACAGACGCGAGTGTGTACGGCGCATTGATCTGATCTGGCGTCCACCAGGACACGCCGCTCGTCCGGCTCGTCTCGCCGGCTCTTTCGGATACGAGTATCGACTTGCCGGCTGCGATATTCGTGCTATATCTATGCACGACGCCACACAACTTGAGCTCAAAGATAAACGCGATGTATCCGCGTCGAGACCAATCTTCATAAAGCCGGTTATAATTGCACACAATAATTGCAAATCCATTAAATTCTATAGATACGAAATAAAATTACCTCGCGGATTAAAAAAGAAAAAAAACGCAGCGGGGGCGGATTGGAGTTAAAAACGCAGGTGTTCGGGCGCGATGAATGTTAATAATAAAATAACTACTCTTTTATGTACACATGAGAACATTTTATCTCTTAATTTAGGTTCGTTCTTTTTCAACATTAAAACCGCAAGATGAATAAGAGCTCTACAAAAATATGGATATATTGGACATTAAAAATTAATTTTAAAAAATTTTTCTCACTGGATTTTAAACTGATATAATTTAAGAAATAAAATACAAAATACATGTATATGCAAAAAATTATTAATATTATATCGGAATAAAAATTGATCTGATAGAAATGATTAAAAAGATCAAAGATATTTTTTTTGCGATAAAAGCATTTCGAGAAAGAGCTTTTAATAGCAATGCAATTGAATTAAATTGTAATGTTGAGATCGAATTCTCCTCGATATTGCACAGAAGGTAATGTAATCTTTATTAAACGTTGCTTTCAGAGACAACTGAACGTTCAGGGCTACGAATGCAGCTCTGATCTACGTTATGTATTGTTCATGCACAATGTCAAGCCGGTAAGTAGCTTAAATGTTGGAAGTCTCTCCCGGGAAAGTTTTTCGCGCGGCAGCTGCATCCTAACTTTCTGATCCGTCGCTTATCGATAACGCTTGGACGTGTAATACGACGCCGCGCAATTTAGTTGCAGTTAGCTGTCGATTATCGCTATTGAAAACACATTCACCTTTTGCACTCTACGGACTCTCTCTCCTTTTTTCCAACCTTTATATTTCATATGGTACAGATGTCGACAATGTTGCAGGTCTTTCGGAACACTTTCACCGCTCTTTACACTGTCTACGATGTCACAAACGAGTAAGTGTAAATAATCAAAATATAGAAGTACAATATATATATATATATATGTTAGTTATATATATAAAAAATTAATTTAGCAATTTTAGTACTCAAAAACAATTTAAAAAGTATTAAATTACAAATTTTTATTCTTTTTTTCTCTGATTTATTATTGAATCTTTTTTACTATTTTTCCGCGTTGAATGCGTTTCAAAAATATACTTGTATAAAAAAACACTGGGATGTAATTGAAACTAAATACAACATGCATCATACATTTGTCTTTTATAATCCATTATTTTCCAGCCATCACACACCCCTTCGCCAAGCGTCACGACACTTGCATCAGACGCGATTGCAATACGCCACCTGGTTGGGCAACACGTCTAGTCTCCTGATGATCTCTGAGAACGACATTTTTCTTAGAATGGGGCCCTCCGCCACGGACGACACCCGCTTGACCGACACGGGCGTACCCGGGGTGATCTACAATGGCGTGCCCGACTGGTTGTATCAGGAGGAAGTGTTACCGAAACCACAAGCGATCTGGCCCAGCCTGGACGGCACGCATATCCTCTACGCCATGTTCAACGACACCAGAGTGAGCGCGTTGGAGTTCCCTTGGTTCGGTACGTCGGGTCAAGACGGAGTCGGCCCGAATTTCCTAAGCGCGTCCAGATCCTTTCCACCTTCCAGATCGGTTAGATACCCGAGACCGGGTTTGCCCAATCCGGAGGTCGAACTGTGGATCATGGACCTTGGTAACGTGAGCTCGCTAAATTACAACGGTACCGGGAATGTCACGTGGTCAACGAAGATGAAGCTGAGACCGCCAACGATCTTGGATGAACAGTATGTTCAATTATTTGAGATTTGTTCTGCTCTAATTATGAAACGTACGGGATAACATCTCTATAGAAAATACTTATAAAACTCGATATTGAACGATATAAGATACCGCTTCGCTCGTTCACGATTTTCGTATTAATGAAATCCGTTTTCACGGATATTTTCAGAGACTACTATCTGATATCGGCCGGCTGGGTTGGCGAGGACGCTTCGCAGATCGCCGTCGTCTGGATGACGAGGATGCAGAACCTGTCCATAGTGTCGGCGTGCCGCGCTCCCACGTGGGAATGCGAGGTGACCCACACGGAGCGGGCGCCCGAAGGACTGTGGCTCGACGCCCAACCGCATCCTCTCTTCGCTCCGGACGGCGACAGCTTTCTGCTGTTGGCCACGGTACAGGAAGGTGATAAGGAACATTTCACGCATATAAAACATGTCACCCTCACGCAACAAAGAATAGCGGTGCTCTCTCATGGTCGTTACGAGGTAAGCGGTTTTTAGAATTGATACATGATTATCGTGAGTATAAAGCGCACTTTAGGCCCACTTTCGTTTCAGAATTTAGAGTAGAATTCTATTTGTAATACTTTATGCGCTATGCAATGAAAAAGTGTTTAAAGAGAATCAGGATATTTACATTTATCAAAATATATATACACGATATATATAAAACTAAAAATTGAATCCCGCATTTTAAAATTGTAGATCACGAATTATAAACAATAATTATAGAAATTTAATACAGAATATAGAAAATATAATATAATGATTAAAAAATATATAGTATATAAAAAATAAAGTTAGAGTAAAAGAATTTAATCGCGCAAGTGCTTTCTGAAACAGGTGAGCGAGATCTTGGCGTGGGACACCAAGGCGCATCTCGTGTATTATCTAGGCACTAGAGAGAAGATACCTGGTCAAAGACATCTCTACGTGGTACGCGATCCCGCCGCGGACGATCCCCGTCACTTTGAGCCGTTGTGCGTGACATGTGATTTTAAAAACGTTCTTTGGAACAGTAGGCAAGTTCAATTTTCGTAAGAAAAGATATAGATAGAATACAATCGATTCTCGGTCATGTAAAAGTAACAAGCGAATTTGTTGACCACCGCAGGTCCTATTACACGAATTGTACACATTTCGGTGCTTCGGTCAGTCCATCGATGGGTAACGACACGCATGGTTACTACGTATTATACTGCGAGGGTCCTGGCCTCCCTCTCGCCGGCTTGCACGAAATGTTGTCGCATAAAATGATGCGCGTGCTGTACGACACAAGGATCCAACGCGCGGATAAATTGTCAGAACTGGCACTGCCCCTCAGGCGAAACTTCGAGGTGAATATCTGATGTGTTGCTCCATTCCGTTCTCACTCTCGATCAATCATATGCCGATGGTACAAATTCGAAATGATTGGTAGGTACCGCTACCTCAAGGCTGGCGAGCTCAGGTGCAGCTGCTGTTGCCCCCCTCGTGGCGAGAAGAGCTCAGGGACGCGGCGTTTCCCGTGCTCGTCGAGGTGAACGGCCGTCCCGGTAGCGAGTCCGTCACGGACAAGTTCCGAATAGACTGGGGAACGTATATGTCGAGTCACAACGACGTGGTCTACGTGAGACTGGACGTACGCGGCGCCCGTGGTCAGGGAAAGAAGGATCTCTTCAGGAGGATAGGCGGCGTCGAGGTGCAAGATCAGCTCACTGTGCTGAGATACCTATTGAAAACGCACAAGTATCTCGACGTCACCAGAGTCGGCGTATGGGGATGGGGTTACGGTGGATACGTGACCGCTATGGTCCTCGGTAACCAGGAGAATGTCTTCAAGTGCGGCGTCGCGGTGAATCCAATCGCCGATTGGACGTATTATAGTAAGAATATAGATTTTACAAAAGCGCATGGAGTGTGTTTATATTCTCGCCTGAATGTTTTCCTCTGCCCGAGGATACCTCGCTGAGACATTATTATACTAATAATCGCTTTGCCCAACTGCAGATTCCGCGTTCACGGAACGTGTCCTCGGTGCCCCAGTCGAGAATTTTAAGGGCTACGTGGAGGCCGATCTCACGCAACGGGCGAGATTGGTGCCCAGTCACAGCCTTTATCTTCTTCACGGCCTAGCCGACCTCACAGCGCCTTACACGCACGGCGTTGCCTTCGCCAAGGCTTTGTCCGAAGCGGGAGTCATCTTTAGATATCAGGTAGAAAAATAAAAATAAAAATCGAGCTTAACATTCGAGCTAACTGTCGCTTCCCTTTTTCTCTTTTAAACAGAGTTACGCGAACGAAGATCACGCCCTGAAAGGCGTGCTCGAACACGCTTATCGTTCCATGGAGGACTTCCTCGCCGAGTGCCTCGCCCTGGATGCCTCCTAGTGCCTCAAGCCGAAGAATCCTTTGTTGTCTCTAGTGCGTCTATTTCCAATACATCCAGAACGGACGTTAATACGGAGACTCGTCCTCGAGGTCACGGCAATTACACTCGTAAACGGGATGATCTCGTTTAGAGCCTGAATCGCGATATAAGTCAGGCCGCTAGGAACGCGAGAGAAGCGAGAACAATCGTTTATTGAAGCGAAGCAGGCGAAGAAGAGAAGAAACGCCGTTTGACGCGCGTACGTACGAGTTCATCATGCAAAATGGAGATTGATAGGAAGAATTAAAACAATTGAAGTAAAGTGGGATTTGTATGAGCAATATCGTTATGATGTATATCATTTGCCTAAAGATTCCTCTTTATTACGGGGAAATCACTCACTTTTCTCTCTGAATGCGTATCTAGCGATACTCACATCGTCAAACCGCGAGAGAATCCGGTAATCACGAAGAATAAGCGACGGAAGAACGAGGAGCGACGGATCGCCTTCTGCTTGACGGAATTTTTGTATGTAAATTATCGGACGACGTCGCTCGCGTTTCCTGCGCAAATTCAATACGATAGTTCTATAGTCTGTCAGGCAATACGAACAGCGCGAGCGGCTTGTTCGACGATGACGAAACGCGTCGCGAAAAGTACTGAAGGGACAAAAACGCGCGTACATGCCGTGAAATCGGGCGAGTTTCGCGAGAAGCGGACGAAGAGACGAGGCGCGTGTTCAGAAGCGCAGACCGAATTATATACGCGCGGAGCTTATCGACGGCTTGCAAATCCGCGTCGTTCGGGTAGCGCCAACGGGACGACGTTGTGAAACCGGCGCCGAATGTTTGCGAGCTCGTCACTTGACACGTCTTGCTGTGTTCCACGTCCCAAAGGCGCTCACATAGGAAAGGCCTGAGATTTCGTGCAAGCGACTGAAAGCGAGATTAATACGGATTGTATAACACTTCAACGTACAGAGCTTATTATTGGGAGTCTGCAAACTTGCACTTTACTTTGTGTAACCCACTTTCCAGACGGAATTTATATCGAAACACAGTGCTCGAATAACTCCAATATATATGTGTCTCGATACCGGGAGGACCGGCTCTGCGGACCGCGATCGATGCTTTTACGGCGGGGTTGAGAATCCCAGATCTCTAAGGTCTCTCGAGTCTCGAGTTACGTATGCCCGGAAGAAAGAGTTTGCAAGCTTCCGTCTTACACTCCTTTTTTTCTAGCTACGTCACTGGTGCCTCCCCAATTTTAAACGGAGAAAAAGTATATACGCCTATAAGCGGTGACGTTCGTCCACAGGCATCGACATACATTTACCATTATATATATAGAATCCGGACGGCTACTGTGAGTTTTGTGTTGTACAGCTTGGCGCCTAGTTCTATGTACCATAATGTTACACGCGTAAAGAGTTGTTTCACAATCCTTAGTATCCCCCCATCTCGACCCGCCCCTCCCCCCTTCTCCCTACCCCGTTTGAATTTTGAATATTTGTACATATATATACACCCAGGAGAAACGTGAAGCTCCTTCGACGAGGTCTCCGCTTGCGGGAATCCTGAGTGATCCATAGATAAGAGAGGAGTGATATCACTTGTTTTTAAATAACCGATTTTCGACAAGATTTACGAAAAATATGCTTGTCGGAGCACACTCGGATCTCGTCGAAGGTGCAGGGTACCAGACTCATTGTATACCTCTTCGAAATACATCGATCGATCCCGAATGGATGAACGACTACGACTAAACAGACGATCTTTGTATACTTGCAATCGTCAGGACTAGCTGTCGATCATCGATCAGGCGCGATCGGCATACGACGTTGAGGCTCCCGAGTACTTGCTTGCTTGCCGTACTTTTGGTGGAACAGTAGAAGACATGATATGGCGAGACACCGTACGCTTATTGTCACATATAACTTGACTTCGCTGCTCCACTGTTGTAAAAGCGAACGCTCGGAAACCTTATATAAACGCGACGTCGTCGGAGAATAACAGGGCTCGTAAGTGTCTCGAAAATATCTGCGGTAACATCAATGTTTTTACAATAAATTTAATAAATTGTATTGTTTTTTTTATATACATTTAATGTTTTTTACATAAATTTAATAAAAGCTTTGAGATTTCCAAAATCGAAACATGAAAACTTCGAAAATTATTGCCTTACGATTTAATGTCACGGTTTATTTGCATTGTTAAAAAAGTTATAGACTTGTACGTAGATATTTTAACAGAACAAATCTTTTAATTTATGACTTATAATTTTACTGTTACTGATTTATCTAGCATATATTAGAATATTTATAGTTTTATTACAAAGACGCGAGATATACCTTGGCCGTCTTAATTGCGCATGATAGAATACTAACGAAAAACGTATGATTTCAATTTTAAGAATTTTATTGAACCACAGATAATGTTCGAGACTATATACGTCAATATAATTTCTAGTACGAAACTAAAGATAATTTACGAGCCTGAATGTTAATTAGAGAAGAGGCGCGCTCAGACGAAGAAGTGGCGCATGTCGCCATGTGTATGCTGCATGTACCAGCAGCCCTTAAATGCCGACAATCAAGGCTAGTGCAACTAATCAAACGATAATAAATAGAAACGGAGAGAAGAGAAAATTACTTAATAATTTAATACTCGTGAATGATCGCTGTGGTTCGGGCGTAAATTGTAAACCGCGACGAAGTCTAGTATATATTGCCAAACTATCGCGATCGGGAAGACTTCGCGAGAGCGATTTTTGCGAGGATAAAAAAATATTAGAGATATGCGAAGGGTCGTTAGGTCGAGATGATGTGCCCGCTGTCGACTGTAGAAAGTACAAAGATGTAACGCGTAATGGAGGCCTCGAAAAATTTTTCGTCGAATGGATTTGTCCTTATAGAGAGGACCTGCTCCAATTCTCCTTTCGCTATCTTTCGATGTTAAACATTGAAAATCAGACGGCTGTAATGAATCTTCCAATAAAATTAACGTGCAACGTTACGTACAATGCGCAACAAGCATTATGTTTTAACCGGATTCCTCCATTTCGCGATAAATGAATGGTCGTTTGTAGTGAAACAAAATGTTCGTTGTCAACAATATCGCTTCCATTTATTCCCGAATAAATATAACGCGAGCGATCGAAACGCGAAATTGTTCGATCCTATTAAGAAGCGGCAGAAAGAGTGACTGATCGATCGATTGGAATCGGAAATGCGAGAGAGCCGTAGGGGGAAAAAATGGGGAGGGAGAGAAAGAGAGAAATAATGGTGGAGCGAATGAGAGCGAGAAAGAGAGAGAGTGTGTGCGTGTGTAAATCACAATCAATTATTAAATATAATAACGGCAGAAAGTGAGGCAAATCGTTAAACGTAAGCATAGGGTATCGGGAAAAAAAAATTATCACGAAGGCAGGCACGCAACACAAGCATGCGAATTATGAAAATTAATCGCAACAAAGAAACCTTGGTAGCAGCGCATAAGGGTATTATAGCTTTTGGTAAACGTATTACCGCCGCTAAAAAAGAAAAAAAACGTAAAAGGCAATGAAAAATACACTCGTATGGGCATACATAAAGATACACGCAAACACACACATATACACGCAATATATTAAAAGAAAGGGATAAACTTTCTCACGCGGAAGTCAATATAAGGGATTGGGCCCGTGCGAACGCATGAATAAATTAATGTGAATTAAGTACACTCGTCGCATAGGTCGATCGACCGATCAGAACGATCGTCAAACAGAACGCGTTAATTAAACCCGGCAGTTTAGATATAAAAAAAGATATGTTACATATTCACTGATTTCTCACAGAAGAAAAATAAATATACGACATTTTATCCGCAAAAATCTGTGATGATTGTTAAAGGAAATATAAATTTCAGATAATTTACAAACTTTTAGTCTCTTTTTCTCTATAAATTTAAAGTTGGCGAATAGAAAATTTCGATTTTTAATCGTTTGACGATCAATGTCAGTTTAGCGACTAGAGAGCGAATTGACTTCTTGAAGACGAGTGACACTTTTCTTCAACGATTTGTAACTCCAAACGCGTCTGTATCCGCTCGGAGGCGTGTCCGGCAGTCTCGAAAGATTGTTTTTTATATCCGATTTCATCGAAATGCTTGATACGCGCTCCACATGAGAGCCACCGATGTCGTTCGGGATACTCGCCTTCGATTAGTAGAGCGAAACGGGCACGGAAAGTTATTTCTACTCGATTTTTGGCGATATTCGCACGGACCTGCACCGGAAACATCCACGAAATTGGCTAATCAAAGTAAGCGCTGGATCTACGGGGACTATGTGTTGATTAAAATTCGAAAATTTTACTTTTAATTTTTTAGCAATCTTTTTTATCAGAGAATATAACTTTTTAAATTGTTTCGAAGGAAACTTATTGTTGTGAACAGAATTGAATTATCACGTTTAATAGAAATCAGAAATGTTATTTTAAAATTTATATTTTTGCAGAGTCTATTCGTGATTTTATTTCAGTTATCATAATTTATTGAAATATACGCAAATCCATTTCAAATCTGTTTTGCAAATCGACAGATCGACAAGAAATTGAAGTCCAACTCGATCAAATTTTCGAAAGCGATTGCGGTTAACTTCGTTTGTGGATTCATAAGTATAACGCGCCGCCGATTTCGCGGATGTCGTCCAAGTTACCTTCCACGTAACATCCACGAAATAATCATGTTATTAAGATTCTGCGTTTTTTAATATCAGCGAAGCTCGGCCCGGACACCGGGTGGATAAAGTGTTTTCAATAAACTGTTACATTATCTGAAGTATTCTTAATTCTTCTTCAACGATGCAGCTTTTGACGGATGACTTTTGACAGCGCATATAATAATTAAAAAACCTCGACACGTTGCAGAGCAGGCTTGAGAAATTATGGTTTCTCGTCGAACGAGAAGAAAGAAACGCACGATTTTCTCAAACAGTTCAAAACAAAAAAATTCTTACGTGCACAAAACCATCAATTATTCGGAGAACCGGTAAATATAATTTTGTTAAAATATCTCCTACAGTGCGTTATTTGAAGGATTTGCTTGCAACTTTATATTCAAGACTGCACAAGCATCCGTACGAGACGCGTTCGAAAAGTCTTCGCGAGTTAAAAACGTCAACAGACTTGGTTAAATCTCTCATCCCGTCGAGACGGTCATCCAATGGTAGTGTTACATATTTGGGCTCGTTTCGTAAAACCCCGCAGCTTGTAACGTTAGAGGATAGCAACGACAACTTCCCCGAAAAAGTTGTTCAATCGGAAGCATGGATCAACGCCAGAAATGAGAAGTCAATTAAAGTACACATATATTTGTTGTATTCACATTATAAATTTTAAATTCTTATTTTTCATATACCGTTTGATAAGATAACGTAATTTTATAGAATTATATGTATCTTAATTCCAACTAAATATTTTCTTACTAAATTATTCTAGAGTCTTATCAAACAGATTAAATATAATCGCTTTAAATATAATCCCGATCATTTATTTTGGAAAATAAATATGTATGCGTAAGAAAGTCCTTCGAAGAGGACATCGCCTCTATTTCTGCCTTGCCCTTTCGCAATATGCTCAATTCCTTCGATATAGCTGCGTTTACGTAACTCCGGGCTTCGATGGATCTCAGTTTTACGAGATCGGCTTCGGTGAGAGGGATTGTTTTCACTCCTGTAAGAGAGTTCAGTTCCGAGGGATGGATTCCGAGCCAACGTGCGTTAGGACAAGCCAAGCTCTCGTTTTCCTTACAAAGGGTCGATGAGCCGAAGCTGCGGAAACCAATAGAAATGAAGAAACGGAATATTTCCCGAGTAAAAATTAAATTAGCATATGCAAAATTAATATTTGTGATGACTGAAATTACGATATATTCAACTTTTGTATTGCGAAAGATCATGATAAAGCGCTAAAGTTATAAAACTCGCATATTTTTTTTTTAATAGAAAAAAATAAAAATTGACGACAATTTCGTCACTCTCTAATTTCAGTTAAATTACCGATAAGTTAACATAATGTCTACGCCAAAAGGATCCGCGTCTACGAGTATGTAGACCGGCAAGTCCATCTTCTCGGATAGCATCTTGACTAACATCCTCGTAGCTACATCCGGATAACCCTTGCCCGTCACTAGAATGCATCTTAGGGCGCGAGAGCAGTTTTCTTCGAGCAACTTTTGAAAAATCGCGTCCTTCTCGATAACTAAAACGAACTCGGCTTTCGCACGAATGGAAGTTATATTCGAATTTTGCGGAATTTGCACGCCACCCGATATCGTACAGTCAATGACTTGATTGCCGACTAATGTGATGGTCATATTTCCTGCCATCAATCCTTTAGCCGTCGCTAACAGTCCTGGAAGGACTTCTAGTTATTAAATTTTTGTTTCATATCTTTTATTTTTTTCATATTTATTATTATCACTTCAGTAGTTTTTAATCATTTATTTACGATCACTCTTTCTAATTAAAGAGTGTTTGACAAACTCACCCAAATCCCACGGCGCACATCCTAACAAATTAGCGATATCATTCAACGCACGATCGATATATCTTTGGCTAGGTACTAAATATAATTTAGTTGCTTCACTCTTTAGATTGTAATAAAACGATCGTCTGGTCTTGGTAATGTTCCTTATCAGCAAATAATGAATCTCGGCCAGTATTACCACTATTAAAACAAATTTGTTTCTTCTGCTTCTCATTGTGAAATCGATAATTGTCTTTTCCGATTTTTGAGGAATATCCCTATTATCTGCATCTTGCTCTTCGGTTAAGGTATCTTTGAAAAACATCGTTTCCTGTTGGACTAATTGTGAGTTTGAATTCGAGCTGGATGAACTTTCTGGATAAACATTTTCTTCATGTGTGCTCAATTTCGAAATAATATTTTGGCCGTTGAAATATGATATACGCGGTGCCTGTTCGGCAGATATCTGTTCTATTATTTTCAGCGTAACAGCTTCGATGCGTGCGATTAAATTCTCCCTGGGCACCATACGCGAAAAAAAAAGTGAATTACAATAGATTCAACAATACGATATTTATAATTTTACGATAGATTGTGTAATTTTACGTTGACGTCAATTTATTTGCAAATAGTAAAAAAATATACAAGCACAGCTCTGAATAAATATTTTACCTTAACTCTTTATTGTCGACTATCGGTATTTCGATATATTTCTCACGAATACCCAAATATTGATTGGCGTACAATGCGATTGATTGCTTACAAAATTTTTTATTTGCCTGTTGCATTTTATCTAAATCAAAAAATATAATAATTAAATTGAGTTTTATATATATTTGTTACGCTGTATCACGGTATATTAAAAATGTTTTCACAGAAAAATAAGAAAAATAAAGCTGTGAGGAAATAAACCTAAATAATTATTTATAAATATTATTCATTATACTTCATTATATACTTCATTATTCTATTATTCACTATTAGTTAATATCTTTTATGAGCATTAACCCCAGTTTTAGTTCTTCCTTGACCCAACAGATGCCTTTAGTACCTAGCCTTTACGCAATGCAGACCTTGTATAGAAATCGTTTCTATCGGTAGAACTATGAAAAAAAAAAAGAAAAAGTATATATGTATATAATCTATAATATTTAAATTTATAATTTATTTTTATAACAAATAACTCTATCATTGCTTTAAAAAATTTTGTTGTATTTCTGTTAAATTTATAATTATATTAAGTGCAGCTACTATACTATTATGTATGTATTTACTATAAAATTTTAAAAGATCTACAGAATTTCTTTCGTGAAACGACAAAAAATACATCAAATAGTTCTACAAAAAATAATTTACATTTTTAAAAATTTTGTTTTAGGAAAATAATGACAAATATCCCGACAATCGATTTTATATATCAATTAATTTATAAGTTCAAATATTATCTAGATGCAATTATTCAAAAGCATACAGATATACAATGTAAATTATGACGATAACGTCTGTATTCATACATTTATATTCATTTGTATCACTGCATTATTGCATATATGTATCATGTTACAAAAGCATTTCACAAAGGAATCATAATTTAATTATAATAGTTTCACTGATAAGGAATAAATCAATTATCAGGCAATTGATTTTTACTTCGCCCCCTTTCATTTGCGTTAATTAGACATTTGCGTAAAAGCGCGTATTTAACGTTCTATAAATATCGAGAGATTCACGTACCAGAACGATATAAAAAAATGCGACATCGTAAAGAACGTCATTAGATCTAGAGACGAAAGCCGAATCGAGCGAAGAGAGGATCCGGATACGCGCCTCTCTCAATCGTCGTTGAATGTTACGGGACGAGTTAAAAGACGCATTGGCAGATAAAAATCTACTACCTATCCGAGGCCGACATTCTCACAGCAATAAACATATTAAGTCCCGACCCATGAGGTAAAGTATTGGCCGCGAGGACTCGTCCGAAGCCGTGACGGCGTAGACATTAATTCTTCTCCCGATCGCCGACATTCATATCGAAGTGGCGAATCTCGAGAGAGGCCCCCGGACACCCCGCTGCGCATTTGTGAGCACCGACCATTGAACGGCGCGCTACTGTACGCGCTAAAGACACTTCAGGGACTTATTGTGAGCGCGAAACACACACCCCTTACTGCAAAACGTTCGATTGTAACGAAATTCAGCGTGCATTCTCCACTGCTCTAATGGGAAGCCGTCCGGAAGGCGAGCGTGACCAGAATTAGCCATTTCCGAGTTACAAGATTTCTTTGTATTTAGTCTCTTTCAGAGAAAACCGCTTATTTGAGAAACAATTATTTTTATAAAAATTTAAGAATAATATATGTACGATGTGTTCGTATCAGTTAAACGTGTAGTAGAATGTATTCCAAAATTACGGTCGATTCATACGAGACGTGACTGTGACAAAAATAGAAATAACGAGCATCGAGTAGGGTTCGATCCTACATAAATTTCCCTAATCCGTGACATGCGTGTTGGGCTTCGAGCTTTTGCAAATGGAGGACAATGAATACTAACGAGTAATTGTGACATCTAACGTGTGTCAAAATATTTCGGAGATAACAAATGATCTGCGATCCAAGTTAATTGACTGAGATCGCGAACATTTATGATAATCTTATAAAATTCTAGATATAGAGAGATTAAAGAAAATCTGTGAATTCGAGCATTGACAAGCGTCGCTCATACACGCGCGAACAAAAGTGAAACACCACCTTAAAGTTCCGGCCTCTTAGATGCTCATAACGGGATTATTCATGAAAAAATAATGCAGGGCGGCAAGCGTGCTCGCGCTCGGTTTCGCATTAAAGACACTCCAAGACTGCGCTGTTACAAAGGGGGATAGTGTTACATTGTGCAACGAGCACAGTGGAGAAACAACCCTAAGAATGCCCTCGCCAGCCCTCAAATAGCCCGTATATAAACCAACACGCGTCGTCGTCGCGTCCTTAAAATATCAGTTGAATACGCGAACGTAGAATAAGGAAGAATTGCATATAGATATTCACGAAATCTCACGCGAATGCGCTCGATGTATCTCGCCAAGGTGATAATCCCTTGTGCGTTCACGAAGAGAACAGTACACCCGTCGGCAGGAGCGACGGTCACAGAAATATTTTATCCGTGCTACGATGAGAGCATTAAAAGCACCCGTACGCGGAATACCTGTCGAAATCTGTGACTTCCGGTTTATCGATTTACAAGAATAGAAATGAAGTCGTGGAGGAACAGTCGACTACGAAATTCTATGAATTTCAATACCGCGATAATCTTCTTGGCTCCAACTATTCCCCTCGATTTGAATTCGTACGAAACTAAATATCCGCAGTCGATCGAATGTCGAAAATACCTGTCGCATGTCAAACTGGCTTGCTACTGTGGAGGTCGGGGATTTTCGAAATCCGATACGCCGGGCATTCTACGATCAAGTAAGACCTATAAAGTGCCACAAATATATGCGACGCGACGATGTTCGAAGCGCGATTCTATTCAGGAAATCGTAACAGTCGAGGTTTTTCCGATCGGCGACGTCGAGAGATCGGATCTCTTGTCGTTCCTTTATTCGCGTCTTGCTTGGCACATTCAAGGCGATTTTCGAAGATAGCATCGAATTTGTCCAAACAGTGGGGAACGCGGCTGTGAAGCAGCGGGGGTTACCTAACGTACAGAGAAAGTCAGAAGGGTAACTGCTAGCCCAAGCTCACTCACCTCCCGGTATTTGATGCATTTTACGTTAATTATACACGGCAAAAGAAACAACAAATTGTTTTATTTATTGAAATTTTATCGAGCACGCTGAGTTTAAAGCAAAGCGGCTTTAACTCAGAACGGAAGCAATTTCCTAGTTTCGCCGGCACGGGCGTGAACGATTGATCGTTCGAAGTGCACTTATCGAGGCTACTTGAACGCGCCGCGGTTTTCGAGGGATCGAACAACGTTATTGTAGCGACCGCCGTGTTCACACACTACAAGGAGGGTTTGACGTGCGGTACTTGACTTAAACGTGCAAGCTTGGGAAAGTCTAAAAACAGTAAAACGACTGCCGTCACGTGATGCCATTTAAACGATCCGTCGAGGACTTGATTGAGGTGACCGGTGATTTGAGGCGAAAAAACTCTTTCTAAAAATGAACACGATTTCAAGCTCAATTTAATTACATAAAGATATCAAGACGCCTCCGCGAATGACGTGTCTTGAAATTGTGTTTTTCCTTTCAGATATGAGATAGAAATCAATTAAAATCCTTCGGAAGAATGCGCCAATTTCAAGGCAATGGAACGATGAAGAAAATGGTTTCGTGCGAAGATATTACATACCAATTTGATACGTCTTCAGCGCGTAATCATTGTAACGAGCACTTTCGTTTCCCTTAAATTCAGGATTCCTTTAATAACAGGCCAGCGCGCTCGGGGCTAAATAAGATCTTTCCTCTCTGCTCGACGCGACGCCTTATTACACGTCAAATATTTTCACGGTTATACCGAGAAGAAAAGGAACCGAACGTTGGCGTCTCAAGGATACCGACGGATGGAGAAAATGACGAATAGGAAGAAGTTGGGAAAGAGCGAGACAGACATATGGGAAAGATAAATGAAAATCTGATAGAGAAAAATACAGATGGAGATAAATTAAAGTTGAAAGAATTGGAGACAAAGAATCTACAATTGGAAAGAAAGAAGGTATTGGAGATGTAATCCCGACTCAGAAGAATGCACCATATAAAGAGTTCGATGACTTGTCGACGATGCGCCTGAGGCAAGTGAGGCGACAGAAACTGTTGCGATCTCAAAAGTGTTAAGTGTAGGTCAGTTATACGAGAGAAACTGGTTCGATCACAACGAGTCAGTCGCTAAAACAAAAATGGGAAGTTCACATTACTTTGAAGGTCGTTTATCTTGTATTATCAGCTGCGCATTAATTTCGTAAAAACTGCATTAAAGCCATCAGCGACTAAAAATAACACATATTTCTATATATGACGTTCTATATATAAATACTTTTTTAATACCCAAAAACGATAATAAATTTTATTCTTTAGATTTAATGCGTGAAAACAATCCATTTAAAAGTTTAATTAAAAATTCTTTTATAATATTGGTGAGCTACTTTTATTATTCTCTCACCCTCTCGATTTCTTTTGTATCCTTCCTTCTCTCTCTTTCGCAAGATTAAATATTATATAAATTGATGCAGAAAAGCAATATATATGTACATAAATTAAAAATTTTCCAAGATGTATGTTTCTCTTAACATACGGAGAGAATTTTTTTTTAAATTTACTCTGCAAACCATGTTAATTGTGGGACAATATAGTATTTAGGCAAATTTTACTGTGCACTATAATAAGTATTTTACAGTAAAATTTATTGTAGTGCATAGTAAAATTTGCTTAAATACTATATTGTCCCACAATTAACATGATTTTCAGTGTAAATTTTAAAAAAATTTCTCTCCGTGCACGTTTTAACAAATTTATTTAAAAAATATATCGTAACTATTAATAATTTATATTCTTTTAATATGCGAAGTTTTCTATTAAGCTTCTTTAATCTATCTTTTCATAGTTTTTGGTCATTTTCCGGCTCAAATAATTTTTATCATTTTTATGATGATTCATCCTCCCGGTGTGCGGCGACGGTGATTTGCGTAATTATGCGCGAAGAAGAGACGATTATACAGCGATACAACATATAGATATAGATTGAAATAGGCGTGAAAGCGCGCGATCGTGTACCGTGCGTGAGCTAATAAACGTTCGGCGTGTGCCACATGATGAGGCGGTTTGCAGCTGCCGGCTTTTTTCCGCGACAGAATTTTTCGCGATTACAAGGCGAGCAGATGCGTTCTCGAAGAATGATGCCCGATTCGCTCGCGCATCTCCTTAGCTTTGCGTGTCTCGCGAAATTATATATACTCCTTTTTATCCATGCGTCGCAGCCTGCAACGCGCCTCGCTCGGGTTAACCTTTCAACCCGTGACTCTCGGCGCGGTTCCTCATTATGATCTCTTCGCACAACCGAGCACGCAAGATTATTCATCTTGGAAATTGCCACGCGCGAGCGCGCTACGAGTTGCACGTGCACTCAATGCCGTTTTTCTTTTAACTTTCAATTTGCGGCGTATAATTTGTAGCCACTAAGACCGCGAGATGTATCTCGGAAGTATTTTACAACAGCTACGAATATATACGAATAGAATGAACTGCACCATTGATAGAGATCGTATCTCGAACGAAACCGAGAATTCCTGACAATTAAGAGCAACGCGCGGTTTGCCATTGGGTCGCGATTACTTGATCTTTAAGGGCGGCCTTTATCACGGCTTAAGAGGGAATTAACGGTGAGGGATAAAGAGCCATCTCCGTGCTCGACCCCAAGGATCACTGGCGCCTCGATAAGAAACGTACATTTGCCGATAAGCCGGCAGCCCATCCGAATTCTCGATCGTCCTTAACGACATCGCGATAATGAGACGACGATCCTTTGTCATACGTGATTCAGTTTCTTCTATCGAGTTGAAGAAACGATCTTACCTATTTATTACAAAGAATGTAATGATGCATATACCTAAGGTCTATAATACTTTCGAATCTATAGATTATTATATAAAAACTTAATAAAAATTCATACTAACCTCGAGAGCAATTAAGACAAACGGCGAAATAGGAAAGCGAGGGTGAATTTGGACGAGCTGTCGAATCACGGAGGCGCGATCGCCGAGGTTTGTTGGCTTTTCGAGAATGCGCCCTTGTTGAAATCGCATTGTTCGTAAACATATGTTCTCTCCCGTGAACGTACGTATGTGAAGGAGTAAACGAGAGGAGACGAGCGAGAAGGATGAAGAAAAACGGACGGCGGACGAGCAGCGGCGGTCTGGCAACCAGTCTGGCATCACCTGGACGAGGAGCACGCGCCTTTTGCTCCGACAGGAAGGTTCAGGCGGAGGGCGAGGAGGGGGGGGGGTTCCAATGTCTCTCCCTATGAATATCGATGCAACGTACGTATTGTGGTCGCGAGACCGCCCCGTCGTACGGCGCGTCGCCATAATGCGCTCATATAACATCGCGACTCCACGTAACGACATTAAGTTCTCGCCACAATGGATGCGTGACCTGCCGCACTCACGGCCGTGAAAAGCGGCTTCGCCCGAAACCCTTCGGGTTCGCAATGAAAATCCTTTTAAACGCGCAAGCCCGTTCCGGGAGGGAATCGCCTTACAAAAGGATGTTTTTCGCCCCGAAACTGCGTTGCGATTGACGCATCACTCCCCTCCCCCCGCCCCCACGTCATCGCGTCGTGACACTTTTGGGATTCGCAATCGAGAAAACTTTGTTCCCGACAAATTACTGATTTACATCTATCCTCTGTTCTCCAATAAGACGCGCACTAAAAAAATCACTTTTATATCTTTCAACAGCAGAAATATTTTGCAATATTCTAATATTAGAATTTACCGTGAAAAAAAGTTGCGAAATTTCTCTCGATGCGGCGTCTTGTAAATTCACGCGGGCCAAAAATGCATATCACAGCTGTAGAGATCATCGATGAACAATCGATCGAAGGTCGCTCGGCGGACCTTGCTGGGCTCTCGCATCTCCGTCGGGCTCGTGTATATACGTGTACGCGTGCATACTCGTGTCATCGAGGCGCGTGAACGGTCACACCTCGGTCCCACCTTCTGCACACGTTCATCTTTTATTTCTTCTTGCGCGCTTCCCCCCTTGTAATCTTCCAGTGCACGCGCGTTCTTTAATAACGATCGCGAATCGAATTCGCAGCGTTGGGCGAAAAGCAATTACCGTCGCTCGTGAGACTAAGGCGGAGAAATTGATTTAAAATGCACGATAATCTCGCTCGCATGTTACTTGGTTTAAGACAATTGAAAATGGAAATCAACAATCCTTTTATCGTGCTCGCGTAGTCTCCATTATACCGTAAAAATCTCCTTATTTACAATACACGGAAGACTCTCCGAGAAAAATGATTACTGCTATAAAACGGCGAGAGACGGTCGTTTACGGGCACGAAGAGATCCCGAACGCGTACGTCAAGGGCGCGAATGCCTATACATATTTGTGCCGTGCAACATTAAGCCGGCGTTTAATTTCGAACGAACAGCTGGTGCTTACATATATACTCGCGCATCACTCGTAAATTCGATTTCTTTGGGCCGTTCCGCCGTTCCTTCGACATCGCGCGATTCATCCCTCCGCGCATATCGACGCATAGTCGGCCTAACGAGGCTCAACGACGCAAGTAAACGCAATCTTCGCTTGCACCGCAAATAAGCACGATTTTCATAAATGGATGCGTCCAAGAAAGATCCAAGAATATAAGGTTATCTTTTAACAAATTATTCCATTAATATCTCGTTAATCTCTTAATTTCAGATGCACAAATTAATTAAATACGTAAAATGAGGATCTAATTAACGTACAGATTGTTAAATTAAAATTTATCTTCACGACCTTCTCGATCAAGAATTATTCGCACAATTGGCAACATCGCCAATATCCATGATTTCACGAGTTGTAGGATAATTCCAAGTAATTTAAAAAATATCAATCGCTGAATAATCCCTGATTGTCATTTATTGGCATCTCTCTTAACGCATCTTCGAACAGCCCGTAATATTCGATTATGAATTGCCAGTTATCACATTAATTACAAACGCAGACGCGTGTGCATTTGCTTAAGAAAGAGAGACGGAGATTAGTGGAGAGAGGAATCTCCTCATTCTGCGCTTCTTGCAATTCAAAAGCCGATTGATCCGATTCCGGTTAATCGAGTCACGAGTCCGTCCGATATTCCTCTACAAAATTGCAAAAGATTAGGTATAGAGAAATTGTGACGAGAAGAGGAATCTTTCAATGGCGATAACTTGTGAGGAAAAGCAAGAATAAGGTTTGTATATCTTACTAGTCACATCTGAAAGCAGACACGAGATGTACAAGATCGGCGGCCGACCGATCGCCACAGTAGCACTTGTTGCAAAAGTCCCGAAATCAGGTCGTCCGTGTAGCACCTTGCGCGATTCCCTCGAGGCGGCACGAGAGAAAAATAAAAGAGAGAAAGAGAGAGGCCTCGAGGAGTTCCGCAAAGTGTGAGAAAGCAGAATGGGACCCGCGAAGAAGACGAGGGAGCGGAGAACCGAAGAGAGCGGGTCCCCCTCGAACTACGTAAATAAAACGTTTTGTAGCCGGTTTTGGAAGTGCGGTCGTGCCGGGCCACCTACCGAAGAGAAGGACTACCTGCCTCTCTCTCTTCCCGGGCCCGGGTTTGAGGTCTTCATTCAGACTGGGTTTCAACTCGGGCCTCGTAGCCGAAGCCATTGACTCTTCGCGACGAGGTGGAGAGGAGTGAAAGGGGGTACTTTCCCCGATAAAGAAGGGCGCGGAAAGAAAGAAAGAAAGAGAACGGGGGAAGGGGCGCGGGCAGGAGGGAAGAAATTCTTCCGATATGGGGTAAGGTACAATGGACGCGTCATCCGTGTCCAGATCTAACTCTTCATACAGATATAATCGCCTGGGAATCCGCGATTTCAAGGAAGCGACGGTGCCTCTTTCAGGATGACTTCTTCTCGACGTGCGGGTGGGGATGATGGAATGAAAAGGATATCGAGAGTCGCGTCGTACGCGTCGAAAGGATCTCGTGAACAATGATCGCTCGGTGTCTCCTCTCCCCCTCTCACGTGCGTGCGGCGGATTCCATATTAGTGATCCATCACGCGAGTAATAAAAGGCGCAGTGACTTCTTCACCGTGCTTCATCGTGGCTCGATCCCACATTAATCTGTCGTGAAAACGTAGGATCAGATAAGGCGAATTCTCTCTCTCTCTCTCTCTCTCTCTCTCTCTCTCTCCCTCTTACCTCTCCTGTTCCATTTTTTTTATACGCGCGAGTCGGTGCCACGCGGGTATTCGTGAAGTCTCATGATAAGAGACGATGGGGGTAGCATTACTGGATCTATGAAAACGAAACGATAGCGAACGCGACACAGAACTTTTCCCGCCGGCTCTCAGTTTCGCGGCATGGCAACAACACAGTTGTCTGCTGCTAAGAAAGATATTCTTCAACTCGGGAATTCTTTAATCCA